GAGGCATCATGTAACTCCTATTTACACTTAGAGTTGGAACTTTGAGCTCAGACGAACATAACCCAAAAGGTGTGAGCTCTTAGTGCCTTAGCCTTACAACCACAACAAAATAAAAATAAAAAAACTTAAAGACACCAATAGTCATAACACGAAAATGCTAAGGTCTACATATGCAGTGCTATGCAAATTAGTCTAGTTAATGGAGCATTAACACTCAGTTTTACCAGCAATATTCATCCTTGACCCTATGTGGGAAAGTAGGGGTGTATTAAAATTAAATGGTAAGACACTGTTAGAATAGTACAGTGTACTACAATACACTAATATGTTTTAATGTTTAAAACTTTATTCTGAATGTTGCATTATTCTCGAGCTATTGTTTTAGCAGTAAGGTTTAGTACACCTACCCTTTACATTTTAAAATATCCCACTTTACTGGCCATAGGCCTTTTGACACTTAATCAATCCCCACTCCAACAATTGTAAATTGCTGGAGTAAATTCATCTTAAAGCAAGTGTATTCTACAACTTGCGTCTTTCTCTAGAGCAGCTACATCAGAAAACATTTGCTGCCTTTGGAGAGGGAATGTATGCATTAATATTCAACTGCATCAGCCTGAAATGGAAACAGAAGAAAAAGAGAGGGATGATTCAAAGATTGAAAGGCAATTCACTCCCTTTCCTAACTCTTTAGAGGACAGCATTTGCTAAAAACTAGGGTTCCAACAGCAGAGAGCTCATGCCAAAGCTCAGTGGTACACATTACATTCCTCTAAGGGGCCTCTCCCATGGCACAATTTAATGGCCAACTTGGCCTTTACAGCCAGCTCACAGATGTCCCAATAGCTTAGAACATGGGCATCCATGCACATGCACAAACGCCCTCCCCTGGCACGTTCTACTTTTTCTGGGTGACAGTATTAATATAGGCAAGACTGGCTTGCTCGTTGATATTAGTGTGTACCAATGCGTCTGTCGGCATGGAAACAAATATGTTTCGCATGGTATGATGAGTGGATCTGCAAGCTGAATGGCTGCAGGCCAGAACTCCTGATTGATATTTTATTACACAGCACAGCCAAAAAAGTTAGGAATACAGTGTTGAGGGAATATGTATTTTGAAAGTCTCCACAGAGTGAGTAAACTAATATTTCAGCAATAACATATATTTGATGAACTTCTGCTAAGTAAGGAACTGCCTCTCTCTCTTTACCATATATTATTCATTCATCCATGCAGGGCTATATATAATTACTATTAAGCTTCAAATAAAACTGAAAAATCCTCAAGAGTAAAAGTTGCTGTTAGGGGAAACAAGGTATGGCAGAATTCACGGATGATGTATGGAACCAAGGTATATTTTCTGCACTGTATTCCTGCACTAGGTACAGTAGGGTTACTACACGAGCCGTCCTAAAGTTTGGCAGCTACTGAGTCCAGATGGCAGGAATCTGGAGCACTGGGCAGGAGGAATGAAGCATTACATACAGTAGTAGGGAGAAAGGAGGATGAAAGGGGAGAAAATAGAGTGGAAGTGGATGGAAGGGGTTAGAAAAATCTGGCACAGCTTAAGCCCAGTTAAGAAAAACTGTTGTAGGGAGGCAATTATCTACCTCTGCCCCCCTAATCTACATGATTTATGGGGAATTACTAATTCTTCAAACGCAAGCGTCCAATTTCTTAATTTCAGCTGCAGGAGAAGCTTCAGCTAAGCCAGTCAACAAAATCAGGAAAAACAAAACTCAATGAGGGCCAGAAAATCAACAAGAAACACAGAAAATGTAAGATGGGAGACCAGCAAGTGATGAAAAAAAAAAAGGATAAAGGTGGCAAGGGATTAAAGTGACAAATAGTCATTATGTGGCCCTGAAGCTCTTGTCTCTAATGGGAGATCTGGGAGATTGAAACCTTGGTCAAAGTTCCTGCGGTCACTCCGTCTGGCTAAACACATTTGGTCCTGTCATAACAACCAACTCAAAGATGGACATTTTGTTTATGAAATAAAAAAGAACAGCAAAATCCCACTTCTATCAAGTAGATGGGTTCAAAGTGAGAGAAAAAAAAAGACAAGTTGAACCTCTGACCCCAAATTCCTGCCCCTTGGAAACATGGTCATTGTTGCAACATTTTTTAAAATGAATAATATTAAAACTCTGCAACAAACTGGCAAACATTATTTGGTTTAATCACTTTAATAAACTTGGTCAAAGTTTGTGCAGTCACAAAGAAAACAAATTTAACGTAGGTCATTGTCATAAATAATATAATAAATTAATTTGGGTATCTCTGGAGTGATTCATTTATAGTTAAAATGTGTGTAAAGCAGGTAACATCTCCGCCTATAATTCCCTATAAGTTAAAGAAATACTAGTTATATCATTACATGTCTATTCTTGTAAAAATAGAGATTATGATTTGGATTTGTAAATATTACATTACATATTATATTTTTCATTATCAGGGATGTCTTATGATGGCAAAAACTGTGATTCTTTAAAATAAAGAAGGTTGTATATCCTTGCTCTCTACGGTATCAATAGCTGCAAAAACTGAATGCATGTTGTGGATTATTAACTTTGCTAGTTTTAAGCTTTTGGTAAAGTGAGAATAAATGAATATTCGTCTAGTTAAAAGCATGATCAAATGCAATTATTATTATTATTTTTTTGTTGTTGTTGTTTTTTGGACATTAATTGCTGCATTTAAAAGTAATAATGTGCTGAAGAAGCCTTTAGATAAAAGGCAAGCTTTTTATTTTTGAGGTGTATTTTAACTTGCTTTTCAAATACAGGTTTTAAAAAAACTAAGTGATGTAATTTTTTAGCCATTCAGTTTAATGTAAAATAATAAAAAGATGTTAAAACATGTTCTAAATACTTTTTTATTACTGCTTTTATTATGATGAGAATAAAAAAAGAAAAATTGGTTCTTAGTCTTGTTTGCCTATACTCATAACAAGCAATCTTTAAAATGAATCTAAAAACACAAAATAAACCTTATTACAAAATATTGTGACGTAGTTCTCTAGTTAGTTCTCTAACTCTCTCGGTACTTCCTTTATTATAAGTCCCTCCTTTTCTTAACACCTGACAATTTTCAACTAACACGTACCTCAAGAGAGGTTTCTAAAACCGTTTATGCTCCTTTGACTTAATAATCACAGATTGGTAGATTTAAATGTGCTACTTGTTAGCTTCCAACTGGATATTTCCCAATAATGGCAGGTCATTTGAAGATTGATAGACTGCTGTCTCTAAAAAAAGAAATAAAAAAAAATAACTGTGTGGATTTCTTTATGTGATCTAATAATATGCTTAAATATGCTATAAAAACTAAGATAAAGAATCTTATCCTAAAATTCTTAATTGGTAAAGCTCATATACTGATAGAAGGCAAACAACTAAACTTAGACATTATAATATTAGTTTAAGGTTGTCCAAATCCTGTTCCTGCGCAATTAGTGTTAAGGTAAAGCCCTAAACTATCAACAAATTATCTTTAATATATCTTTTAAACAGGAAACTGGCCATCTACTGAAGTTGAGACAGATAAAGAAAACTGTTTGTGTTAGTTTATGAAACACAATGGCATTTTGCCATCAGTAATGAAAAATGTGAGGACAACTGCAAAGAATATATATATATATATATAGTTTATGAAACACAATGGCATTTTGCCATCAGTAATGAAAAATGTGAGAACAACTGCAAAGAAAGTTCAGAGCTTACTGGATCTAGTCTAAACTGCCAAATAAAGGTCAGTCTACAACATATGAAAGGCAGATTGAAATCAGGTCTCGTGTATAGAATTGAGGTTTTGTGTATAGAAGAACCAACAGCTGTATAAGAGAAAAGAACGGGCAAAATGAGAAAATGATATCAGGGGAATTCTACATTTAAAAAGATTGAAACAATGCAAAACTGGTGGAAAGCAAAATTTTTTGACTTTTAGATCATTTTAACCACCAAGTAACACTGAGGCTTTAAAAATCCTGAGGAAATGATGCCATCCCTCCACATATATAACCGCCTGGAAGAGCAACAGTAGCTTAAATTACACAGTTTTCTATTTCAAAATAATTGACTGAATTACATTTCAGTATAGTCAATAGTCAAGATTTGTACAAATGTTATCATGAAAATATAGAATGTAACTATGAACTCATAGCAGGTAATTGTAGCTTGGTCATGCAGGTAATTGTAGCTTGGTCAAGTTTCAAATTTGGAACCTGGAAATTCCACAGACTTTAAAAGAAAACGTAGAGACAGACAGACAGACAGACAGATGTGCACTTAGTCAGATGAAAAGGCTGATGGATGCAGGTATGGCTTAATGGCTGGGGTGATGAATTAACGTCGCAGATGATTGGACAGATGAACCATTGGACAAACTGAGGCCTCACTGCACAGACTGCAACATGATTGGGTGATGGACAGGTTGACAGACATGAATGTGGGTGGTTGGACTGGAAGTAAGTATCAAGTAACTGATGGGTTCATGTTCAAATGGGAGGATGAAGGGATGGATGTTTAAACCAACTTAAAAGTCATTAAGTTAAGGCAAATTAGATTTTGAAAAAAATATATATTTTACTCAGAGGAATCAATTCAGTCTTTATAAAAAAAAACATCTAAAACCCTGCTTTCTTTTAAGAAGGATTTTGCAAAGTTTTTACTTTTCAACACTCTGTAGGGACCCTGTACTGAACGGAAAACAATTGGGGGGCATCACCTCAGTCAGACTACAGATACATCAGAAAGTATGGAGGGCCTACTGTACAAACACTAACGTTTTAGGAAATAACATGACTGTTCAGCAGATAGTCTATCAAATTTTGTATTTTAAGAAAGAACTGTTCATATGCTAGAACTTGTATATACTAGGTAGAGCTCTCACTATCTGTCTGAAAGGAAGAAAAACTTGAGGGTGAAGACTAAACAGAGCAGCGAAATCAACTGATTAAATATGTAAAAGTTCAATCTACAATGATATTTTCTTACCTGTAACTTGAAAGGTGCATTTGCCTGCTCCGGCCTCATTGATGACGTTGCATGTGTACTCGCCCCAGCCTTCACGATTCAGGCTGCGGATCGTGTACTCCGTCTCATCTTTGTGTGGGTCAAACGCCCCGGCATGGAGCAGCCGGTTTGAAAGCAGCCACTCAAACCGCAACACTCGAGAGGGATGGGCTCGCAGCACTCTGCAGGTCATCACTACTGGCCTCCCCAAACCCTGACGGACCTCCATGTGAACAGGCTCCACTGTAGGAGGGTCTAAATGGTAGAAAAAAAAAAAAAAAAATCAGCGAGAAAAACACTGAATAAAGGAGAGGTATGAGAGTGTGGGAGCAAGGAAGACCTTATATTGATTTCTTGTTTGTTTTTTTTGTTTTTCTTCCTGTTCTTTCAGCAGAGTCTACAATGGTAGTTGTGAATCTCTGCAGCTTCTTCAAAGTAAGCCTGGAGCTCTTGACTGTGTCATTAATTAATGGTCTCCTTGCAGTTAAGATGGACGGTCACAACTTGGAAGAATTGCACTTATGCAAATTATGTTCATTTTCATATGATGAGAGCTCTATTAAAAACAAATGCACATTTCACTCTCTAAAATTAAATCTGTAGAAGATAAAAAACGTGCAGTTTCAAATTCCTGTGAAAAAAACATTAAAATTTGTGTTGAAACAGTTATATATTCAATGCAATATAAGACATCTGAAATAGAAGATGAAATGCTGAAGCACATTCAGATATCAGGAAGCAGAAAATGGGGTAACACTGAGCACAGTGTAAATGAACTGTAGACCATATTCACTGGAAAACATTACATTTCAGAAACAGATGAAAATGAAAACAATTGCAGGAGGAGCGGCAGGTCTGCGTTAAAATCAATTTGCACAAAAACAAAGAACAATGTTCAAAATAGAAATCATTTTCGCTTCGCAGAAAACTTGTAACCGGATGATGAAGTGCACCTCGGGCTTTGAAAATGGAAAATTAATAACTTATTTGAGTATCTGACAGCCTTCACCTCTTTCCACACAGACAACCTGCTGGTGAATTATTCAACCAGTTGAATGGCCTTGATGAGACCCCGGCTAAGTTTGGGGAAACTTTTAATATGTTTCACGCATACATTTCAGTGCCTTTACTTTGCATGAGATATTGTGTATGGTGGAGAGTGTGTAGATTAACTGTATTTAAGAGCTTGTGTGTGCAAGCAGTGGAACGGTTATGAATAATTCCCCCATTTTAGGCATCTTTACTGTTGACTGGCTCTGGTGGAAACTTGACAAAAGTCACGTTGGAGCTCGATAAACAACAGTGAATGAACACGGAGGAGACGCGACAGAATGACACAGAACCCCTTGATTGCCTGAGATTTGCATAATTTCTGACAGAGTACAGGAGCGATGCCAGCTTTATAAAAGGCTGGGGATGCAATTTTTTCTGAATGTAATCTGTTACAGATCACTGATTACCTGATTGAAACTGTTATCTGCAACATAATCTTCTACATTATTCACAGTCAGTAATATAATCTGTTTACTGAGCCTTCCAAATTTGATAGGATATGCAGCTATGAGCAAAGTAAGGAAATATACAGCATATAATTTGATAACACTATTAATGTTATTATTTCTATCCCTAAGCAGAAATATAAAATAGGAAATGTTGCAGCCATTATTAGGAATTTTATGTTGGATTTGTTTGCACTATTTTAGCAACAGTTGCTTATTTTATTTGAAAATAAATAATTGAAGGTCACCCCTGGCAGTAGAGAAGGATGAATCCACAAGGCCAGAGAACTGCACAGGGATATGTGGGGTGTGAACAATATGCAGAATGCAAAATAAAAACTTGACACGCAGAAACACTACATAGTAGGGGATTTTATCCTTGCCCTCAATGCTAATTATCCTTCAAGATGCAACATCCTACAGTTCACTGAGGCACCGCTGTGATTAATGACACGCCATTAGATCATATCATGACTGGCCGAAATGGGAAAATGATAAATCATAACAGTGGGGGTCAAAGTGAAAGTAAACACAAACCTTTTGAAGGGTTTGGACTGAGGAGGAAAAAATGAACAAAAAAACATTGACTTTTTCGTCTACATATCCTGTTCCAAGGTGGTAGGTAGAGACATTTGTTTATATCTCCACTTAGTGTAGGAGCAATCAGTTCTTTCTAAAGAACATCGGCTGGAATTTTACCATAATCCACAGGCCTATCTCAAATGTGAAAAAGGGCATCTGGAAGTTTTCTTATCACATCAATATTGTAGGATTCTGTGCAGAATAACAGCTAGCTCCACGGCTTTTGTGAATGGCACTGGATCAAATTGCAATAAGTGCATTCCCATTCACTTGGTATCACAAATAATGAAAAAAGGGGGTAAATCTCTTTATATAATAAAAAAAACGTAACTTAAACAAGGGAACAAGCCTCATCGCTCTCCTGTGCATTTCCCGTAAAAGAGTTGCAGAGGTAACATAAGCAGAACGGAGTAAGAAGGTCCTGTGTTATATTCCCTGAGCAGTGCTCACAGTGTTTAATGTAGCAGCCACTGTGATTTCGGAGTTGCTGTAGTCCACAGGCCGTGGAAAAGCTAGAGTACCTACTGAATATAATCTGTCATCAGTCACTGGTGGACGGCTTTACGCTGATGACGGGGGAAAACAACATTTATGGAGCACAGGCCTTTTTTTCTTACAGTTCATATAGACTTCTATGGTGGTCTAAATAAAGATATGCATGTACTGCAATGTACAACTGTTTCTTAGGAGTTGAGGATGGCATTATTAATTTGTGTGCACCTGTATTTCCAGAAGGCAGCTTAAACATTTAAAAGGTGGGAGTTTAGATCTTTGCCCTCAACACTAATTAACTTTTAAAAATTTAAAATACTCTCTCTGAACCCTCACTGAAGTCTCAACTAATTTATCTTAGGAGCACAAAGAGAACTCATGTGGGTAAGCCTGCAAGAAAAGATTATGCTGAAATACAGCAATGTTAAAATGCACATTTTTGTAACAAACAACAGATACCATAACAAGCTATTACCACAGTGGATCAACTTTATAAACTCATTAAGAATGAAAAAATTGTAATTGTTAAAGTTCAAATGGAGATGACAATCACTACATGACTATTTTTTTTTTACTATCTAATGTTTTTGTGTACCAATAAATTATGTGAAACTACTCATTAGTTCCTGATTAGTTTCACTGTTTCCCAGGTAACTAAGAAGTACTCCCCAAATATGGCCAGGCTAGGTGTTCCCCAGTATATACTAGTTAACTACCCATTAGTTCCTTACTAGTCCTCTAGGCATTCTTTAGTAGTTAATCAATTTTGGGTAACTTATTGTTTCCAAGGTGGGTTTTTAAAAATAAACTGTGCCTTTTCTGTTGAAGTCATTTTTAAGTTCCTGTGTTTTAGTTGAATGTCATGATGCTGTAAATGAAATCCATTTTTGGCTACGAACACCTGACATTTTCAGATTTAAGGTGCTTGCTATTGATATATGCTTTTATTGTTTTATCCACCTTAACATAACCATGTTCCAGATAAAAGATGCAAGCCCACACCAATGGTGTCATCACAGCTACGTTTCACTCAAGGTACAGTACAGTGTTTTTTTTTTCTCCAAAATTCACGACTTAACTTTTGTTCAACTATAGCCTTTAATTGCGCTTGAGTAGTCAAGTTTTCTTTCATGGGAACAAATAAAATTTTTCACAAGGTTTTAAGATTTTTTTTTTTTTTTTATCTCCCTCTTGCAACCCTATTGAAAACTTCCTTCAGCTTTACTTTCAAGCCTTTTACAAAATTCTTTTCCAGTTTACATTTTCTCTTCTCATACATTTTTGGATAAACATTTTATGTTGCCTAATATTGCTCTAATCATTAATGTCTCTTTTCATTGTGCCATTGTACGTAATTATGTAGGTTATTTACTAATTACCAGCTTTGTCTGATGAATGGAACAGCAGGCACATAAGTTGCCATATTGCGTTTGACTGCATTACTATACAAACATCCTAATAACCAAAGTGTGCAAAATCCAGGGAGTATAATGCATTTATAACCACTAACAATCCCATTGCATTTTGTCAAACCTGAGATAGATTGTAGGTGTAACTTTTGCCTCTATATTTAAATATTTGAAAACACAAAAGTTTATTAATAGCATCTTCAATTATATGCATTTCTATGACAATTTTAGCAAGTATACATGAAATGTTCACAATCCTATTTCAGGGAATGGTTTAGAGATCACCAACCTATGTTGACATTTGTCATAGTATTGTATGAGGAAAAAAATGTGGGTTTTGTCAAAAATCAAACATTTTTCATGTTTTTAAACCAGAATTTATATATAAATATATTTTTCTGTTTTTACAGTGAAAGCTTATTGAACTTTGGCAACCTCCCGACATCTATACATTTAGCTTAAGGGATGCAACTTTGTTCAGAGCTGTTTATAAAATCCGCGCATTCTATAGTGTTTGGTATTTTTTCCAAAGACTTTTTATAAGACACCAAATCATGTTGATTTAAAACAAACAGTTGTTTCCCCTAAAGGATCAGTGGATGGCAGTGATAACAAAAGCAGTTTGAGAAGAAAAAATGCACCTTATAAATAAATCCCCGAGCAATTTAAGGCAAGAGCTTTCAGCAACAATATTCACTCTACGCTATCAAGAATAAAAGCACCAAGTGGAGTTTGCTAATTGTCCCTGAAATAGACCCTGTGGCTCCTTTCTTTTTATTGCACATGAAAGCCAACAGTAACAGTAAGACTGAAACAGTAAAAGGCTAGTAACAAAATGCTCCCTGATTACAGAGAATGAATTACACCTCAAATAAATACATATCTTCTGTTACATTACTGTTACCTCTGACAATCATAGTACTTGCAATATATGGTTAATAATAATTATTTAAGTAATTCGTTTTAGCTGACTCTACAGGCATATTTATTTTCAACTTCTCGTAGGAACCAAAGTTTATTTTACAGGCAGCAAATATCGTCTGGAAAACAAGGTGCTGAACTTCTTACTTAGTGCAGAAAAAGTTCTGTTCGGTATACCAGACAAAAATCCAACTAAAGGGAGTACATGGTAACTGTTCAATACAGTGCATTTGGGAGTTTTTGACTGCACTGCCCTTTATCCATATTTAGTTACACAAAAGCCTAATTCCAAATGATATGAAATCTATTTTCTTTCAAGTCTACCGACAATATCCCAATATACTCAGTGAAA